CTCTTTCCGCAGTCAGAAGTCTAGAGGGGAAGCGTTCTCATGCTTCAGCCAGCATCATGCAGAACTGTTTCAGTAACCAGTATCAGTTTAATTTTCAGACCGTTTTTCCAGTTGGTAGTAACTTTCTCCAGGTGATTAATCACATATTTTACTAGAAATGATGGGCTCCCCTGTTGGCTTATCAGGATTTTTTAAAAAAATTCACTCTGACCTATTTCTGCGATTTCATGTCGACAAATATGCTACTGCGTGAGAACTTTATTTCTTTAATTTTGATGCTCAGGCTTAGTCTCTCCATGACTGCACGTCTGAGAGCTTCACTTGCACTGCCTGCCTCACTTGGGACTCTTCTCCTGGTGCTGCTGAGTCATTTCCTTTGCTTCAGTCTATCTTTCAGACTTGTTTTTCTGTGCAGCCTATAACTGACATCCTGTTATACTTACTATGCTATATGAAAATAAATTGTATTGTTCTGTAGAAGGAGAACAATTGTTGGATCCCTGTGTTTTTTCCACTTCTGCTACTTCTGGATTACATCTTTTTTTAATGTTAAACTGAATTTTCACAGAAATAGATGTCTGATTTCTCCCATTGTGATAAGTACATAGTCTATATAATATTGCAACGTAGTAGTTCAGATACTTCTGGATTACATCTTTTTTTAATGTTAAACTGAATTTTCACAGAAATAGATGTCTGATTTCTCCCATTGTTGTGATAAGTACATAGTCCATATAATATTGCAACGTAGTAGTTCAGGCAACAACAGCTTTGTAAAATTAAAGTTGTAAATCACTGCTCTTGTCTTCTAGCTCTTAACCTCTGGTTCCTACATCTGGATTTTAGCCTTAAGTGGATTGGTAAGTCTTACTGTTTACAAAATCATGTGTTGTTTAAACCACTCTGTTACATTTGCCATCAATGCAGTATATTTGGACTCAAAAAGAACAGAAATTACTAAGTATGGTTTTTAGTTGTGACAGTGAGTAGAAAGTTTTCCTCTCTAACTTCCAAATGTGTAAAGCTCTGGCTGGCTGGTGATAATCTGACCAACAACAGAGCTGGTTAATATTAGCAGGCTGCCACTGCTCTCTGACCCCCTAAAATTAATTTTACTGACATGGATATAGCTTTAGACCCACAACTATAAATGAGACTATAGAGGAAATGGTAGAAATGTTTACCCTTTGGGGTTTTTTGCTTGGTTTTGTTTTTTGTTTGTTTTTTTTTTTCAGCAAGCCTCAAGCTTTTATTCCAAAAAGCAGCTTTTAACAACTTTGCTGTGAGGATTTTTCATGTTTTGCTGTTCTCCTAGGTCATCTGTAGTATCGCCGTTTCTCACTGTGGTAACGGCAGTAAGGGTGCAAAATCACGTTATTCACGCCAGTCAGATAAAGTCAGTGTGGTCTGTCTTTTTTCCTTTCTGACTCTGTTCTTAGTACTAAGGCACTTAGTGCTGAAACAGATTGTACTAAATCCTCCAGATTGTTAGCTACTGATAAGCTGCTTTTAAAATCTTACAAACTTAGAAATTAGGAGCTCAAACTCTGGTTTCTTGGCCCAAAATACGGTCTGCTTTTCAAACCGTGAAAGTACCACCTCTTTCAAAGCAGCTCGTTATTGACTTGATCCAATCTTAAGAAGAATTTTTATTGTGCCCTTGCTATTTAGAACCTGCTAATTTGAATTTGCAGTGAGCTCAGAGTGAAATGCCTGTGGACACTCACATGTTGCTGCTATAACTCAGTAGTTTGGTCTCTCACCATTTGCATTGACTATACCAAAATCTTCTGTGAGCTCACAGGATAACTAACAGAAGTGAAGGAGCAGTAAACAGTGAAGTTTGCTCAGCAGTTTGGTCTGACCATAAATATAGATGAAAACAATGCAACTAACAAACCAGAATTTCTCTGTCCTGGAGATCAGCCCAAACCTCTGTGCCTGCCTAAGGATCTGTGACTTCCTCCAAACACACTACCCTTCCTGTTACTCCTCTGGCTATTTTAGTAGCCCTTCCTTTTGAACAGGTGTTGAGTAGAGAGGGAAGGAAAAGAAAGGAAAGTAAAGGCATTTTAACCCCCTCTTTCCTGGTGGCAGGAACTGTATGTATACTTGGTTGTACAAACTTATAAAGAATGGCTAAAATATTTTATTTTTTCCTAGGATATTATGCAGTTCTTATTTTAATTCCCTTTTCATGTACATTTTTATTCATCTGTATAATGCAATGTTTTTAGGATTCTTTTTCATAAATGACCATTTTTTATTTGCAGGTTGACAGTATGCTTTACATAGGTATTAGTCCATAGGAATAAAATGAGCTTTTTCTGTCACAGGAAGTCTTAAAAAAAAGTAATTTGAAGTTTTCATATTGCTTCAGTCAGCATAAATTAAGCCATCATCAATGATGATGTGTTTTCAATCTCAATTTTTTTCTGCAGCAAGCAGAGATCTGCATTCTGTTGTTTTGTAGTAAGTGCCAGGCAACTTGGAAAGAAGTTCATGTTATGAATTTAAGCCATTTTTTGCACCACATATCTGTCACACTTCTGTGACCAAGTCTCTGTCTCCTCTGTTTGAAGTGATAATTTGGCATCTTTTGAGAAAACTCGATAAAGGAGTAAAGTTTCACAGTATATTAAATAATCTGAAGAGAGACACTAAACACTATAAGGGCACCTTTTAGCGTTACAAGTGTAGATGCTTGATAACACGTATATGTACAATTACAGAAATACGTAGGTTGTCAAATCAATGTTAAGTCATTCTAACAACCTCTGTGTTTTTCTAATTCTTACCACTCTTGACATTTTCTAACATTACTATATCTTCGTTGAATCAAAGTTTCATATATTTATACAAAAAGGCTGAGTAAATGCACGAAGACCAAGTCAGCTAGGTGTGCTCTTTAGTCACTACTTCATTGCCTGTTAGACACTTCACTGCCTGTGTTTTTAGCTCTGAAGGTCACTTAGACAGTCGCATGATTCTGTGTGATGTTCTGCAATTTAGCTTTCGTTCCACTTCTGCTTACGTGGAGTATTATAAAATGGCTGGCGCCGGCACGATTTCTGAAATGTTGTCAGTTTCCACTTTCTCTTCACTGTGTTCCTGGTTTAGGTTTATTTAAATTCTCATCATTTACATTTTAACATGTAATGAACACTCTTAGACTAAACGGGATCTGACTTTCCAGGTACAAGATGTGACACTGGAGATTGGTCCCTGTGTTCATCCTCACTAATGCTGTTGGACTTCCTTGCGAATTCCAGGCGGAGTGTAGAGCGACTAGGAACTGTACCGCCTCGAGTTCTTGTTTTTAGTGGTTTGAGTGATGCCATCATTAAGAGAAATGTGTTTGCATGTGTGTATGAGTCTAGGTATGTAGGTAGGCATTGATGACAGGGGATTTTAGAAAATTTGTAGTTTGACATGTGATTGTTCTCAGTTTCAGAGATTACAGCATGTGTTTTGTTATTGGAATATAGTAGAGGTGTACTGTGTCTGTCTTTGCCATAAGGTGTATCTTCCTAGATCTCTAATTTTGGATCAACATAGGAATACACACTTAAAGGCAGCTTCTTTATTCTCCAGATGAAACTGGAGTACATCTCAATTATCATTCTTTTGGTATGTCAGTATGGATCTGGTAATTTCAGTTGCTGGTATGTTGTGTAAATGATGCTTATTTGCCAAAAAGGGATAATTTAAGAAGTAGACTGTAAACAGATTCACACATCTGATGTAATCAGTAATCTGTAATGTTATTCTTCTTAGAATTTATGAGACTAATTTAGTTTCTTGTGATTTGTTTTGACAGGAATATACCATACTTGTTACATACAGTCCAGATTTGTTTCTTATAATAGGGGCTTTTAATGTCATAAAATTAAGAAACTTCATATTAGAGATGCAGATGTATCATGAAAGTCATTCAACCTATTTCCATTTGACTTTAAGCCAAAAGTGCTTTCAATAATTGCTTACAGGAGTGCTTCCATCTGATGCATGTCACTCAGTTTAGTGAAGGCCAGAAACAGTTTCCCTACTATTTTTTTCTTTAAAACAGTAAAAACACCTTAGAAAATGGTATCCACTTGAATGTTTTATTGGACACATACATATCAACCCATCTTTTCTCCCTTTTTTTCCCCTACCTTTAAATTCTCTTGGGTTCTCAGCTTGCATTTCTCATTGCTATACTCTTGAAGGACTGAAATTTGAGGGGCGTGTCAAGGCTCACTCAATCATAGCTACAGCATAACTGCTTCAAGAAGTAAGCTGAGGTTGGTACCAGCAGATGAGATATGCCCACTGGGGTATGTGGTTCCCTCCACTCTTCAGTATAATAATACAGATCACATGCCAGAGTTTCTGCTAACCATGTAGCTAGGAGAATATATTTCATAGGGGAAAGGTATTTTTCAGGCCCTTTCTGTGATTTTAGTGCTGTAGCCTCTTTCTTCTTATCTAGTGTCATTTGGTTATTTGTTTGCAAGGTGACCTACATTGCATAAAGTTCAAAATTTGGAACACCCCAAGTCTTCTGTGAGCTGCCTTGAAATTGTGTAGAGTTCAGTTCAAACCTTAGAAATTGAAATTGTCTTACCCTTGCAAATGCTGAAGTTTCTAAAACCCTATTTACTTAACAGATTTCACTAAACCAAATGCAAGAGCCTTCTGCATTGTTTCTGTGCTACACTGTGATTTACTTTTCTCAGGTTGTATGAAAAGTTGTGCTTTTTATACTTTAGATATTGGAAAACTGTAGAGAATCTGTAATTTAGAGCATGTATTTTAAAGGCTTAAGGTTAAGATAGAAAGTTCAGACAGTGTTGAGTGCTTGGTTTTGATTTCAGTTCTAATTTTTGAGTGCTTTACTTCTTATTCATAATTTTGAAGTTCTTGGTTTTACATAGACTATGGATTAACTGTTGTTAAATGCTCAGGAGTGTACTTTGATTATTATGAGTTCTGTTTGTTAAGAACTTTATTCATCCTTTTTGTTTGTTATCTGTTCAGCTGAAGTGTTTTTCTATAGTGAATTTCTGTCCTTCAGGATCAGCATCTATAGGATAAGATGTGATTGTCTGAGGATCAAAATATCTAAGCCAGACTTCCATTTTTTTAGTTCTTGTCTTAAAAATAATATTATGTGGTTAATATCTGATCAGACCTAAGAATGATTGATTTTCTTGTTGTTGTTTTTCCTCTTCACATCTTTCTTAAGTGATTTTGAACAATCCTTACTGAATTCTTTTCATTGTTTTAAAAAAATGTTTTTAAGGGCATGCAGAAGCATTTGTATTACCCCACAGTGCAGTATTCACACTTAGAATATCATACCTTCTGCATACTTAAAATTAGTATTAAATATGTGCTAACTTTCTTGAAGATAATTTTTGATCAGAGCCTGATGCTATAGTATGTGGTTACCTCCACGTTCATGTCCTGCTATGCGACCTTCTTCATCCTCCAGTTAATGTGGACATTCTCCAGTCATCCACTGTAGTCTTATGTAGAACTGTAGTCAATATGGAAGTGTGGTAAAATGATCTGTTGTGTAACATTACAGTTACAGGTTATAACTACAAACTGCAAATACATGTGTAATGGTTCTATTTGTCGGGTGGTTTTCACACGATCTCGCTTGGTTTCCTCAATGTGTTTCTCTAATCAAGGAAAATACAGAATATTGACACAAACTTTAACCCTTTGGTTTGATTCTAGTGTAGAATTCAGAACATACTAAGGATAAAGTAGATAAAATAGGCATAAAAATGTCACTTCATCTTAAGAATGCTTTCAATTTGTTGATCTCTGAAAATAGCAGTCTTGAATGCATATGATGAATATATTTAAATTTAAATTATTCAGAACAAAATAATTGAGTATTTGCTGCCATTTAATTCTGTCAAGTTCTCACCATTATGCAAAATAATTTTCAACATAATTTTCTACACCAATCTCCTTACTGTTTTTTTTTTTTGTTGTTTTATTTCCTTTTTTAATGTTAATCAAGTACAATGATTTTAAATATCTCAGTTAGTAGTGGAGCATATGCATCTTTGTCGTGCAAAATATTGGAGAGCTTCCATTTTTGGTTTACCTAATGTAAAAGAGAAACTATAGCAACTTCCTTTTTCTAAAAAGTGTACAACTTTGGAGGGACGTGAGGGAAGGGGAGAGGAAGTTGGGCTTTCTACAGGGGTGGGAAGAGGTTAGGAAACTTCATGTGAAGAACCAGTAGGAAGCCATGGTATTAAGAAAGTGAAGAAATGTAAGCACACTTTTTTTCTGCAGCGTGCCAGAGAACTTCCAGCATACTCCATTTCCTCTCTTTAGCATTTTGCCTGATATGATAAGGTTGGATGAGGTTGTAGGTTGTGATGATGTGACTACCAGAAAGCAACTAAGAGGCATTTTACGTTGTAAGACAAAAATTGTCCATTCTAACAATGTGAACTTAATTGCAACATCTTTCTGTGGTGACGTTTTATAGCCAAAAATACTCTGGAGGTTTATCTGTTTTGGGGGAAGTAGCGCTTTAACCTGATGTACAGTGTTGAAGTGGGGATATAAATGAGATCACCTGTCTTCAGTGAATAAACAAAATTGGTTTACTTTCTTAAACACTAGAAATTCACTACATGTCTGTAACAAAAATGATGGAAAAAAATACTTTATACTTTGTCAAAGCTTGGGATTTTTTATAATTATATATATATCAAGTTCTGCATATGAACCAGTTAAAGAGGAAGTTCTTTGGAAATACTTGACATTAAGATGGGTGCATGACACTAAGCCAGACTGACTCACGAGACCTGTTTTAACTACAAATGTCTTCATTCTGGATTTATTGGAAATATGCAAATAGGTATGTATCCCTTCCTCACTAGATGAAACTTCTTGAAAATTTGTTAAAACTGAGCAAAGCATTTAAAGTTTCTTATACTTGCATTTAATAGCTTTATAATTGGAATAGTAAATCAAGGGAGAGGTGAAGGGGAGTGGCACTGAAATCCTAACAAGATGTGGAGGTAACAAAGTGGATTGCCAGTGTGTACTTGGCACTCTTCACAGCTGAGTCTGTCCTTCCATCTGCATATACTTGTGAAGAACTGCAGTCTCACATGATTGCTCTGAACAATTACTGGTTCACAGTAAGTTTCTTGGCCACTATATGTAGAAGATAACTTCTCTTCTGCTAGTCCTACACAGTTTTGTCTTATTCTTTCACCACGTGCTTTTTATTTTAGCTTTTACTGTGAACTTTATATTGCCAGACCTCTCAACTTCCTGCCCTGTGAGCACAGAAGTCCACACATTTGGGTTATACAATGAGTATCTGTCTCAGGCAGGACAAGGAGGGGCCAAGACACTAGCCTGCTGTTGTGGAGCAGCAGTGAGAAAGAAGACAGCCCACTTCAACTGCTGCATTGGCTATAGACCCAGGCATGCTACTCCAGTGAGCTCAGTAAAGCTAGGGAGGGAGGTAGGAGCCATGTGTACGAGTCTCACATGCAGTGCTAAGTGCTATTCTCCATTTTAGCAGTGTCCGTAAACTTTTAGCTTTTTAAAGCCTTTTCTTCTGATTAAATGCTCTGGAATGACTTGCTCTCTGCAACTACTTGAAAGGAGGTTGTAACAAGGTGGGTGTCAAGCTCTTTTCCCATATAGCACAAGAGGAAACAGCCTCAAGTTGCATCAGGGGAGGTATAGATTGGATATTAGGAAAAAATTATTGACCGAAAGGGTTATCAAGCACTGGAACAGGCTGCCCAGGGAGATGGTTGAGTCACCATCCCTGGAGGTATTTAACAGACATGAAAATGTGGTGCTTAGGGACATGGTTTAGTCGGGGATTTGTCAGTGTTAAGTTAATGGTTGGAGTTGATGATCTTAAAGATCTTTTCCAACCTAAATTATTCTAATTCTATGATTAACTAACTGTACTTAGAAAAAATATGAAAATACTTGTACTGATGCAACTACTCATTGGTGCTTGCACTTTCCCTTCTGAGACAAACAAGTCCCAAAGTACTAACACCAAAGACATGCTGCTGCTATCTCTTTGCTGTATTTCCTATCTTGTGTTGATAAGAGAATGGTTCTGTTTGTGGTTAATGTGTTCAGACACGTGTCAAGATTTGTCATACGGTCAGGGAGATGTAGATTTTCCTATCACCACTTGCTTTGTTTTGTTCTTGTGACTTTTTGAACCTGTTTAAGATTGAAGGTGCCCTGGAAACATTAGACCCTAACAAAGGACTGTAGGTGATAAGAGCGATCAGAGATCGGTAGCTGGGAGGGACATTTGAAAGTGAGGGAATGCTGGTGTGATGTTGGACAAAAGTATTTTTAGCAGGAGCACTTTCCCTGCCTGGTTACAGCTGTGCAACCAGGAATGCAGAATCCCTGGGACCAAAGAGGGGGCCTGGCTCCATAGCCTAACAATTCAAGGTAGGAGGAAGGAAGATAATTTGTAGGTTCTGGTGCTGCTTGTGCATTTTGCGCCGAAGAAATCATCAGATTAAATTTAATACATACAGCCTGGTTCAGTAATTCTTGCTCCCAAAAAAGTGACCTTCCTGGTAGCCTTACAATCTAGGTTTTCTTGATTGAGGAGCCTATCTACGTAACTCTCTTGGGACCAGGTGGTTAGCTTCTGAGGGACCTTCTCGCTAGTACTTGATATACCTCAAGTACTGCATACCAAAATTAGATTAATTTAGGAAGTGATATGAATTTTCCTCCTTATTCTTTGATGATTCTAGTTCTGTCTTAGTTTCCAGTTGATGTGCGCAAGTTTTGGTCACGGGCTTACAGTCATCTGGAACAGTTTCACTAGAGCTGAGGAAAGGATTTCTAAGGTCATGAGGAAGCTTCTCTTCCAGTGCCCTGTCATTCCTGGAGTCCAGTCAGGAGTCCTGGAGTCCACTTTTCTTTGAATACAGAAAATTTTTGTCAAAGGCAGCCTTCACTATGTTGCCAGAGATTATGGCCTTCCTCTTATGCCATCCCATTTACCTCCTTTCTCATAGAACAAAAAGATTGAAGGGGTTAAGGGTAGTTTGCACCTTTTTTTCTCATTTTAAAATGGTAGCCTGTGTTTGGTGTTACATCCAAGCCTGAGAGCAGTCATAAAATGAAAGTAGACTAAAATGAAAATCAGTGTTTCCCAAAGCAGAATGTGTTTTTGCTAAAAGTCTCATTATCTCACTGGTTAATAAACAATAAACTTGTAAATAATCTGAAAAATATCCTCCTCACAAAGAACGTTGCATTATCCTATACTGATTGCATTCAGTATTTTTGTACAAATGTCAGTATAATAAAATAAATATGCCCAAATAAATAGCCCAGATGTGGAGTTTCTACCTTGCTTCTAGTATAATTACATTGTTGGGTATGTATACAGATTTTTTTTTTTTGGTTCATATCTCTTCCTGTTCATTTCACTCTGTTGTCATAGCATAATTCTTGTGGCATAACAGATAATAAATAGTCACAAGTACTGAATTGTGGCGTAAAGCAGAACGCAGACTCAAAGTTTGTGCCTAAGAACTTTGGACTTGAACCTCGTAATGGATTTAAACTGATGACTGAGTGATGATTGTAGATCATTTATGGGACACATAGATTTCCCTTGCTCCTCCTGAATCTGAAATGAAATCAGTCCCCAAGGCAGGCATGAGTGTGAATGAAGGGAATGGGTATTTTTGTTATAGGTGGGAGAAGGGCATCACAAAAACTGGCTTTTTCAATATCATCACAGTTTTTAATGAATGGGGTTTTTGAGCCTTGGGTTTGGTTTTTTTTCCTCCCAGAAGGTAGTTAGAATCCTTTTGGAATAAGTCTGTGCATATTCTTAGATTTTACTTCAAATTAGCTGTTTTGCATTTGTTTTTACTAGAAGGAGAGACTTGGGTGGTGGGGACAGGAGCCTTAAAGGGGTTGGTTTTTTAAAGTGTTTACAATGCTTCGGCATCCTCAAGAGCAGCCTTAATCTTCTCAGGTCAGCACACAGCATACCCTGACCAGTTCCTTTACTAGAAATGAAAATTTTGTTTAAATTTTGAGCTGTGTGAGAAATGGTCGATTGGTTTGGACTCAAATTCTGAAACAAACAAAAAACCCCAAGCAGCTTTCTGAGTCACAGGCAATGCAGGACACAGATTTGAAAAAGTAATAGTGTGTGGTTGTGGGGAAGTTGGAGGTAAAGAAATCCCCTATTCTTTCTCTGAGCCTTGACTGAGAACTCTGGGTAAATACAATAAAAAGTGCTTTAAAAACGGAAAGACCAACTGCTATCTGCAGCCAAATACAAAGTAAATTTGATGTATTGAAGTTTTTTGGTTTTGAGGGTTTTTTAACGTTTGATTTTTGGTTTTAGGTTTCTGGGATTTGCTACAATAGCAGTATATTAAAAGTTCATCAAGTTCTTTGTGTGCCCAGCTGGGTAGCAAAGATATTTTCTTGGACTCTTGAACCAATCTTCTCATCTGCGGAACCAAGGAATGAAGTTCGAGTGGGAATGGGAGCAACAGTTGACATCCAGAGGCAGCAGAGAATGGAGTTACTGGATCGTCAAATCATGATGTCTCAGGTTGCCCAAATGAGGCGGCAAAGGCAGCAGCAGGTATTGACATATGTTCTGTAAGGACTATATTAAGTTATGGCAAAAATACTTTTTTTTCCCCTGTATCTTTTTTGGTTCCTGTTTCTTAAAAATATGGATTTCTTTATTCTTCTCAGTTGGTCTTTCATACACTGTTGTACTGCTAATAGCCACGTAGGTGTTTATTTATAGAGCTTTGTACATTAAAACTGCTTCACAAGATATAAGCAGAATGTCAGACAGTCCTGTAAGGATGTCTTACACTATTCTTTTACCAAAAATGAGGCTGAAAGGTACAGTGATTGTCTCTTGGTGGTCTTTAGTAAGAGCCATTGTTGAAAACTAGGAAGTCAAAATGCTCCTGACTCTTCGGAGTATTTCTATGGTTCACGTTCTTTTCAGAGAGGTTGAAAATTGTCTTGCATAACTCCTTTGTTTGCAAGTGTGCTTTGAATCAGCCTTGTTTCTTTTAAGAAAGTGCAGAAATTAAATTCTCTTTCTTACAGAGGTCAGCTACAGGGTTTTCTCTTTGCTACATTTAATGCTTTTGGTTTGTTTCCTTATTGACTAGAACAGCAGAGCCTTTTTATTTTCTCTGTTTTAGTGAAATCGGCAAATGCAGTTGTTCACATACTTTGCATTGTAGGGCAGTAAAATGAGGCAAATAGTGTCCCAATTAACTTTTTCCTTTATCTTAGATGTGTGCATGACTACTCTCAAACCTAGCAGACAACACAGGCCTTGCATTGCTCTATGTGAACATATATTGCTTATAATTTAATTAGAGCCTGGCAATTTGAGGTCCTTACTGAGTTGCTTCTGCCTGAAACACAGCTCGGTACTGATACACAAGTTCTTGTGTTGGAGGTAGCGTGGTACAAGGAGATACAGCTGTGTTACCATTGATATGTTGCCAGAGTTAGAGGTGTGATAGCATAAAGCTTTGGCCTACAACTGGAGTGTGCGTCTTTGCTTACAGTCCCTGATAACATAATTCTGTTTTCTTTGATTTCTTAACATTTCAATCAAATGAAATTGTTCCTCAGATGGAAGATCCTAATCTCCTTTTCTCTATTCCCATTAGCATGTTAATCAGTTTTAACATAAGAACTGAACTGGAAATTACTCAGTTCTTGAATGTTACCGTTGTAATAAAAAATGAATTGAAAGTGTCTGTTGGGCTACAAGCTGCTGTGAAGAGGACAACCAAGATTCTTTAGCTAGGAGGAAGAAGCCATGACCAGTTATGAAGGGTGATCTTTATAGTATGTTTTTCATTGCAAAAAGTGTTAAATAAGTTTGGAACGGTAAACGATAAAAGAAGACTTGATAACATTTTCTTCTCTTCTTCTCCTTTCCTTAGGCTATGAACAATGAAAGCGAAAAAATGTCTTTTCATGTTTGACTTCAAATAGAGTTCTTAAAAAAGGTGGAGGGGTTTAAGTAAAATAAATGAACATTGTTTGAACATCAGTAAGATGCTTCCCTTTGCAAGTTGCTGTAGCACTTTGAAGTTACCTTCATGTTTGGCCTTTAACTTGAGTGCAACATTTAGTGAACTGATAGTGGTAATCTGTGAAACCAGTGCTTGGGAGGTGGTGGGATCAATGTATGAATGTTTCAGAGAGGCTTTTCACAAAAGATGTGTCGTGAAATCTCTTGAATAGCCTTTTTTTAATGCCTTACTCAGAGAATTTACTGGCCATCCACAAAATCACAAAAAGCACCATTCACAAATGTTGAGAAGTAATGATAAAAATAAAAAGCAGACTAATTTCAATCTCCGAATAATACTTTAAAAATTGAAAACCATTTTCTGGATTGCTGTACTTAGGCATTTCTTTTGCCTTTAGAGGCTTGGAAAGGTATAATTTGAAGACAGTGGAGTTGAACAGATCATGTTACAGATGGAATTTAGATGATAATTTTACCTGTGGGAGTGAAGCTGATAAAGAATACAGATCAGTTTCTTACGGAGTTGGTTTTTGTGAAACTGGAAATAATAAAACTGTGTAGTATTTGTCAGTTATCAAATATGGCTTTGAATTATATTCCAGGAGAATGTTGTGCAGATTTCTGGAGTCCCAACATGCTGTCTGTAGGTAATGTGCCATAGGTGAGATAAATTCACATTTTCTGTCCTGCTTTCTGTTTTGTTTGGTGAGGGAAGTGAACTTTTAACTTCCCTCTGTATGCTTTAGTGTAACAGTTGTTTAGCTGCCCCTTGAGAAAGTGCTCTGCTCATTCCTCCTGCTCCTCTACTCTCCAGTTCATCTGTTTGAGAAAAGAGACAATGCAGTTTCCCTGCGTATCAGTAGCACATGGAAGCAGAACAGAAGAATGTGATACGCAGTTTTAATGATGCTCCATTGTTCATACAATGTGTCAAACTCTGTTTTGGCTGTAACGAGTCCCCTTTCTTAAATAGAAGACACTTTTTGTAATAAGCTTATTCTTCAAGTTTTTACAAGAAGTTCTGAAGAATGTGAGCCTGATAAGTTATGTAACCCAACACAAAAAGAGCAAAAGTTAAAAAAATAAAAAGAAACAGGGAAAGAACCTGGGGAAAAAGCATTTCTTATAAACTGTTTTTACTGTACTTCCAAGATACTGTGATGTAAATAATGTTATCTTTTTTTTTTTTTTTTCCTGCTCTTCACTGCACTCTTTTATCCAAAGCAGTCACTTTGGCTGCTTTCTACAAAAAAAGCCCAAAACAAATAAACAAACAAACAAAACCCCAACCACCTCAGAATTTATTTACTGGCAGCTCTTTGAGCTTTACCTTTCCCAGTCTTTCTCTGGTTGAAATGGTCTGGTCTGGAGCAGCCTGAAGCACGGAGCTGTGTGTGTGAGTGCTGGGTTGCCAGGCACCCATAACTTCGAGGAGTAAGTTAAGTATGTGGTAGAATTTGAACATAAACCACCAACTTAATTACTTGATGTACCTCATTTTAGCCCTGAAATGATCAGTGGTGCTGTGTCTGAATATGTTGTTAGAAACTGAAAAAATTATCTTACGTTGCTAGTTTCTCAGAGGAGTGTGGTTACATGGTGACTGATTTTTGTCTTGGTTTCTAGTTGCTGTGGATACAGCCTTTAAACAGATGGTGGTGAGCATATTGAAAACTTTCTGTTCTTTTTTTTTTTTTTCATCCACGGATGATCCTGAGAAATGATGAACTTGTCACAAATGGAGAAATACTGAACATCACCTCCGTGCACCTTTTGAGGCAGTAGAATAAAATGTTTGCCATATGTATTCATTCCCTCAAAAAATACCAGCTTGCTATTTTGTTACTGCTTTTAAAACTTTAGTTTCTTGGTTTTTTTCTTTCGCACTCTTTTGTCTAACCTCTTTTCTAATTTAAGTAATTTATCCTATTTTTCTTTTTCCCCCATTAATCTGATCTCTTATTCCGCTCCATATCACTTTCATGTTTTCATTCCTCACTATGCCATTTTCCTCCCACATTTTCATCATCTTTTCCCCTTCATCTCTGTGGTTTCCCATACTTAATGTTTGCTTCTGTACAACACCCTTCTTTGCTTTGGTGGAAGTTCTCTCCCGTTGTGTCTCACCATCAGTAATTGTTTGCTGATGCATCGTGAAGCTCATAGGATTTTAGGGATAGATGCCTTTTACCTTTCTCTCATTCAGGCAGGATGTAGTTGAGGTCTTGGGGCACCATTTTATCCTTTTGATACTGTAATATCAATGAATATTTTGGTCTTCCTTTCCTGACTTTTCTATTTCTTGGTCTCTTTCATTTCCCAGTGTTTTTCTAAGGTTTATCTTTCTGTGACCCCAATGAAAGCCCTGGTGGGAAAAGGGAAGCAACTGGTACATCTGTGCACCAGTGTGGTAGCAGGGAGTCAACTTGACTTTCACTTCCTGTTGAGAAATTTGGCGGGAGGCTGGCAGATAACCAAATTGCAAATAGATAAGAGAAGAGTCCGTGCCTAGGTATTATTGGCAACACTGTTGTCACTAAAGATGGATATTTGGAAGGTGGTGGAAAGTTGCAGAAAAGGTGGTCAGCGCCTTCTGTTAGCAACTAAATTTCACTTCTCTGAGTGCTCATCCCTGTGCCCATTTGTGCTGGCTTTGGCTGGGATAGAGTTAATTTTCTTCACAGCAGCTGGTGTGGGGCTGTGTTTTGGATTTGTGCTGAAAACAGTGTTGATGACACAGGGATGTTTTAGCTGTTGCTGAGCAGGGCTTGCACAGAGTCAAGGCCTTTTCTGCCTCTCACACCACCCCACTAGCGAGGAGGCTGGGGGTGCACAAGGAGTTGGGAGGGGACACAGGTGGGACAGCTGACCCCAAATGACCCAAGGGATATTGCAGACCATACAACGTCATGCTCAGCATATACAGCTGGGGAAGAAGAAGGAAGGAGGGACATTTGGAGTGATGGCGTTTGTCTTCCCAAGTGACAGTTACGTGTGATGGAACCCTGCTGTCCTGGTGATGGCTGAACACCTGCCTGCCCATGGGAAGGAGTGAATGAATTCCTTGTTTTGATTGCTTGTGTGTGCAGCTTTTGCTTTACCTATTAAACTGTCTTTATCTCAACCCATGAGTTTTCTCACTTTTGCTCTTCTGATTCTCTCCCCCATCCCAACTGGAGGGAGTGGGCAAGCGGCTGTGTGGTGCTTAGTTGCCGACTCCGGTTAAACCACAACAGTCCTTTTTGGTTCCCAGTGTGGGGCTCGAAGGATTCAAGATAATGACAGATTTGATTGGAATATGCTAGATTGAATTTATAGCTGTTATTGCTGTTTAGCTATTAATTGTCAGTCTTCTGTGCTTCCTGTGGGGCTTGCTTGCCTTACTGTAAATTAGTCTTGTGCTTGTTAGTAGCTACTTTTTGCTTTCACCGCTTGCTGTACTGCTTATCATCTTACTCTGATGTGCCTGGGAACATTTAGAAAACAGCAATGGTCATACTCCTGGGCTGGCAGATGGCCTGGGCATCACTGCTGTTTCTGTGCTGCTGTACTGGACAGGCTGGAAC